AAAAAAAAAAAAAAGACATTTATATTCTACACCTAGTAAATTTCACATGTACCCTTGTAGGATGTAACGTGGTATTCTTAGCAATAGTCTATAGGTAAGTAGGCTTTGAATTTGATGACTCCGCCCCTTCCTATTGATTTTAGGTTATGTTTTATGGATAATCATAGGCTGCCTTGTCCAACACAATAGTCACTAGCCAACTCTGGTTATTTACATTAATTAAAATTAAATATAATTTAAAATTCAGTTCTTCCTTCTCATTAGTGACATTGCAAGTGCCCAGTAGCCAGATGTGACTGGTGGCTACCATAGTGGACATTGCATTATTGCAATGAGAATGTTACAGAAAATTTCCATCATCACAGAAAATTCAGTTGGACAGTGGTGGTCTTAGGTGTTCAGAAGCCCTTAGTCACAATTCTAAAGTACAGAAAGTTCTCACAGACTTTGCCACAAAGTTACTTAGTAGCAAACTGATCTCAACTAACTTTAGCCTATTTGATCTTTATACCACTTAGAATGAATGTTCATACAGTTCACTGTAAAAATGCATTGCAGAAATAAATACCGATGGGATAAAAAGTGGGGGGTGCTGCCCCAACACCACTAGAGAAGTTCTATTATGTGCAGTATAAGTACCTTACTACAAGACGTCCTCAAGGATTTCAGATAAGGGACTTGGACCTGTATTTGAAGAAACTAATTTTTCCTAGTTTAATAGAAAGAAAGAATAAGTACTCTAACCTCTGTTAGTTATGGGATCTTACACTAATCATTTTAACCTCTCAGAGCTGCACTTTCCCATTTGTAAAATGAAGACATAAGTAATCACAATTCCTTTATCTACTTGACATGGTAATACATTAAATTAAGGTATAATTATGAAGGTATTTCATAAACTACACGGTTTGCTATTAGGAGGAAAATAAATTTGGTTTAACTTAGCTCACCCACGTTTCTCCTGTGGTTCTAATTCCTAGATCGGAGCTGCTAGTCGTATACCTGGAGTGACACCTGCGGCCATCGTCAATCTGCTCAGATTCGTGAAGACCACGCAGCAGAGCCGGGCCGCTGTGGACGAGCTGCCCAAGACTGACCAGTACTTACGTGACACAGACAGACTCCAAGAGAGAGAGTTATAGCTTTCAATTCATGGAAGATTTTTTTTTTTTTTTT